ATTGTACTATAGTTAAGTATAATGTTAACATAAGAAAATGCTGGGTGTGGGATATATAGGAACTATTACTATTTTTTGAGAGCTCATTTTCCTAATTTACATTATTACTCTGAACATTCATCTTTGTGGGTCATTTGAATTTTCTTTTCTACAAAATTTTTCACCCACTTAGTAGTTTTAGTATTGATTTTTTTTGTATATAGCAGTTGTGATGGCTAATATTGATTCTAATTGGTTTGAGAGATGCCTAAGTTTAGTAAAACACATTTCTGAGTATCTTTGAGGGCATTTCCAGAAACAACTAGCATATGGAACAGCAACTGAGATGGGGAGGGGATCCACCCTGAAAGTGGGTGGCACTATCAAATAGGCCAGGGCCCAGATGAAACAAGTGGAAGGAGGAAGCCTACTAGAGCAGGCTCGTTCTGCCTCTGTTTCCTGGCCATTGTGAAGTAAGCAGCATTACTTTCACCATCATGTTCTGCCTCACCTTGAGTCCAAAAGCAATGGAGACAGCTGGCCATGGACTGAAGCCTCCGAAACAGTGAGCTAAAATAAAGCTTTCATTCATTTAAACTGTCACAGCAATGAAAGCCTGACTAACACAGTAGTCCTACTTTACTGGTGCTTTTACTTTCTAGGCTTATAGTTATGTGCACTGAACCATAGTCCAAAAATATTAAGTGGAAAATGAAATAACTCATACATTTTTAAATTACATGCTCTTCTGTGTAGTGTAATGAAATTTCATGTTGTTCCACTCCATCCTGCCCATCTCCAGGATGGAATCACTCCTTTGTCCAGGGTATCCACGCTATATATGCTACACACCAGTTACACTTAGTTGTTATCTCATTTAACAGATGACTGCCACAGCCTCACAGTACTTGTGTTTACTAAATAATGGCCCTAAAGGGCAAAAATAGTGATGGCAAAGCAGGCATCAGCACATAAAACATGGAAGAACACATTAACTCTGATAATATATGGCAATGCTACAGGGCAAATAGGAAAAAGAAAACAGTATATATAGGATTTGGTACTATCCAAAGTTTCAGAAATCCCCTAGGGGTCTTGGAATGTACCACTTGTTGATAAGGGTGACTACTGTACTAAAAATTGTATACATTGTACGTTAAGGAAATTAGGTCCTTGTGATAACAAATATTTTCCAGTTTTTCTTTTGATTTTTTTTAAATGGTGGGTTTGTGTATAAATATATATATATATACATATACACACAGATGTTTTAAATGATGATTTTGGCTTACTCGTGGGCAAGAATAAAAAGAAATAGTAGCAAAGTGGCTTTAACTTCTCAACAGTATTCAAAACCCCAGAATACATACACTAGTTAATGGAAATGACTGTCTCTCTAAAGTTTTTTCTTCCATTAAAGTTATTTATTAAAAAATTTACATACAGTAAAATTCATTCTTTTGGTGTGCAATTCCATGAGTTTTAACAAATGCATACTCATGTAACTACAAGCAACACACAGCTTATTTCCAATATTAGAAGAAATCCCTTGTGTTGACACTTTGTATTCAAGGAGTACACCAATTTTAACCCCTCATATCCACTAATTTTTTCTTCATTCCTATTGGTTTGCCTTTTCCAGAAAATAAACAAATGGAATCAAACAGTAAGTAGCCTTTGAGTCTGGCTTTTTGAACTTAGCAAAATGCACTTCATTCATCAGTTGTTGCATATATGGTTCATTAATTGTTATTGCTGAGTAGAGTATCACTGGATATACCAGTTTCTGTATCTATGCACCGGTTGAAAGGTATCCTCTGTCTTTATTTTCCTCAATTATTAGTAGTCTGTAGGTCTACTAAAGGGCAGAGGTAATATTTTTCACCCAACAGGAAACAGTTCCTTCTGAATAGTCCAGCTGAGAAATATGTCCCTGGGTAACATGTAAAAAAGGCTATAACTAGGATAATTTACTTCTTAAACTCCTTAACCTATATTTCAAACTAGATGGTTAATCCTAGGTGAACAGTATATTCAAAGGAATAGGAGTTTGTCCTGAGTGTAGACAGATGATATCCTACAGTGGGTCTGACAAGTATTCTGGAAGCCACATCACTGTAAGATTATTTAAAATTATTTCAATTTTTAAAAATACTGAAAAAAGTAAAATATCACTTGAAATCACACCAACTTAAAAATTTCACAAAGTGAAAACTTTCTTTCAACCTATCCAATTTCACCTCCAGAAGGTTGGTTTACAATTTGCTATATATATTTCTTAGCTTTTCCCTAAATTTATTTTGAAAAAACACACACACACACATATATACATACATATGCTATACATATATTAATGCTTTTGTTCAAAACTATACATATTCCTGAATCTTAACATTTAACTTAATACTAAATACTGGATATGAGTCAGATCAGAATATATTCCTATAGTCCATTATTTTAATGGCTGCATAGTATTCACTAAATGGATGGATATGTATAAAGTTATTTCTTCATTTTCCAACTGATGGACATTTGGGTAATATCCAACTTCCTATTTTAGTGAGTTTTGATATATAATTTATATATCACACAACTCATAGGCTTTAGTATATTTATGTGTAATTATCAACAGTCAATTTTAGAACATTTTCACCAAACTCTAAAGAAACCCCAGACACTTTAGCTATTATCCCTGCCATTTCTATTCCTTTCCCTCTCACACCCACTCTAAGCAACCACTAATATTGTCATATATATTTGTCAATTCTGGACACCTCATATAAATGGAATCATATGATATATAGTGACTGGCTTCTTTTAATGAGCATATTCTCAGGATTCTCTTATGTTGTACTATGTGTCAGAAACATTCCCTGCTATTCTATTTTTTCGAAGTTTGTGATGAAATTATATTAATTTTTCTTTAAAGGTTTGGTAGAATTTATCTAAGAAGCCATTTGAGCCTGGGCTTTCCTTTGTAGGTACTTTTTTATTGGGGTATTCAGATTTTCTATTTATTTTTGATTAGGTTTTAGTAACTTTTGTCTTCTAGAATTTGTCCACTTCATCTAGGTTAATTTATTGACATATATTTGTTCATAATATTCCCTCATAATCCTTCATATTTCTACAGGATCAGTAATAAATTTTTCCTTCATTTTTTCTTATTTTTCATGGTACTAGTAACTGGACTCAGGTTCTTCGCATGTCAGGAAAGTGATCTACCACTTAAATTATGCTCTAGACCTTTTGTTTGCATTTTAGAGACAGATCTCACTATCTCTGCCTTCCCCATAGCTGGGATGACAGCTCTGTACCACCATACCCACCTGATTCTAATAATTTGACTCTCCTTTTTCCCCTGATAAATTTAGCAAAAAATTTGTAAGTTTTGTTAATCATTTTATAGGACCAACCTGTGGTTTGGATTTCATTTGATTTTCCTTTACTGTTTTCTATTCTTGAGGTCATTTATTTTTCATCTAATCTTTTATATTTTTATCCTTTTTCTGTTTAATTTGTTCTTCTTTTTCAGGGTCTTAAGGTATAAAACGAAGTTATTGTCATTCTCTTTTAAGTAGGCTTATACCTTTAAATTTCCCTGTAAGCACTGCTTTAAGCTGCATCCTATAAATTTTGGTATGTTGTATTCATTTTCATTCACCTCAAAGGATTTTCTAGGTTCCTTTGTGATTAATTCTTTGACCTATTGGTCATTTAAAAGTGTGCCTAATTGCCACAAATCTGTGAGTTTCCCAAGTTTTTGGTACTGATTTCTAACTTCATTCCATGTGGTCAGAGAACAGACTTTACATCATTTCAGTCCACTTATATTAAATATGTATTCTGATGTCAATGGGTAGAGTGTTCTATAGATGTCTTTTAGACCTATTTGGCTTACAGTGTTGTTCAATGCTTTTTGTACACTTGTCTATTTCAATCCTTTAATTTATTTTGGTTTTTGCTTCATGTATTTTGGGGCTTTGTTATTATATGGATATGTGATAATTGTTACATCTTCCTGAAAGATTGACCCATTTAACATTATAAAGTGTAATTCTTTATCTCTAGTAATTTTTTTGTTTTAAAGTCTATTTTGTCTCATATTAGCTACTTCACTTTCTTATGGTTGCTGTTTTGCATGACATTTTTGTTTTCCTGTAGACAGGTCTAGTGTAGCACAAGCTGGCCTCAAGCTTGTGATCCTATTGCCTCACCCTCTCTCAAGTGCTAGGGTTACAGGCATGTACCACCACACTTGCCCATCTTATTTTCTATCCTTTTACCTTCGACCTTTGGGTATCTTCTAATGTAAAATGGGTCTGTAAAACAGGATTGTGTTGAATCTTGTTTTTTCTAGTCTGACAATTTTTGTCTCTTAATTAGATAATTTAATCCTTTTACATTTATTGTTTGTAATGAAATAGGTAATTTGTGACTGTTATTTTGTCTCAATTTTTATTTTCCTTGATTCTTCATTCTTTCTTTTGCATTTATTGCTAGTTTGACATTTAAATTCCTTTAATAATACCCTCACTGTTTATAAAGTAAGTTATTTCCTTTTCAATGGCTCTATGGCTTACCATATACATCCTAATTAAACTAGAGTAGCTAATGATATATTCTAACTTAATTCTAGTGATATATAAAAATCTTTTTCCTATATAAACTCATTCCTTTTCCCCACTTTTTGTGGTATAACTATGTAAATTATTCCTACATGTAATAAACCTAAAATACATCATTATAATTATGACTTAATAAATCCACATCCTTTCAAGAAGGTGAGATAAGTGTATGTTTATAGCTTTGTAAAATTAACCTTCTTTCTCCTTTCTTGTTTTCTTCATTTGTTCGTATGGATTAGAACTACTATCTAAAGTCATTTCTTCCTGGGTGCCAGTGGCACATGCCCGTAATTCTAGCTAGTTGGGAGGCAGAGATCAGGAGGATTGTGGTCCAAAGCCAACCCAGGCAAACAATTCATGACATCCTATCTTGAAAAATATTCAACTCAAGCCAGGGCTTGAGTAGTGGCTCAAGTGGTAGAGTACCTACCTAGCAAGCATGAGGTTCTGAGTTCACACCCCAGTACCATCAAAAAAAGGTCATTTCTTTAGTAAAACACAGCATTATTTCTACCTACCTTATTTGTCCTGTTATTGGCAAATATATTGCATTTTTAATGTTATAGGTCAAACAATACAGCTATATAATACTCTCTTACACAATGTTTTGAGATCAGTTGAGAATAAAGAAAAGTGTTCAGATTTTCTTTTACAAGCTATCAGCTTGACAAACTTCCTTTTGTATTTCCTATGATATCTACTAGCAACAATGTCTATTAATTTTTTTTATTATGTGGGCATGTTTTATTTTTACCTTCAACTTTGAAAAAGTTTAATTGTACATAAAATTCATGGTTGATAGTTATTTTCTTTGAGCACTTTGAATATGTTATCTCATTGCCACTAATACTGTTTCTAAGATCACGTTTACAATTTTTTTGTTTTTGTGAGCCGGGTTTTACTGTGTCGCAGAGGCTGATCTCAAACTCCTGGGCTCAAGCCTCATCCTCCTAAGTAGTTGGAACTACAGGCACATGTCAGGCCTAACAACACCTTTCTAATGAGAGGTTGGTTGTTAATTATATTGGGTTGTCAATTTACAATTTTTTTGTTTTTGTGAGCCGGGTTTTACTGTGTCGCAGAGGCTGATCTCAAACTCCTGGGCTCAAGCCTCATCCTCCTAAGTAGTTGGAACTACAGGCACATGTCAGGCCTAACAACACCTTTCTAATGAGAGGTTGGTTGTTAATTATATTGGGTTGTCAATTATACTAAGTGATAGTTCATTTCTCTTGGATTGCCATCCAGATTTTCTCTTTGTACTTGGGTTTCAATATTTTTGTGATGATGTGGCTATTTGTAGCTTTCTTTCTGTTTATCCTATGGGGTTCACTGAGCTTCTGTGATGTCAAGATTTATGTGTCTCATCAAATTTGAAACATTTTTAGTCATTATTTCTTGCAATATTTTTGCACCTTTCTTTCTTGTCTTTTTCTGGCACTCCCATTACATGTATATCAGAGTGCTTAATGGTGCCTCACAAGTCCAACATTCTGTTCAATTTTATCCATTCTCTTTTCTTTCTCTTCCTCACTCTGGATAATGTCATCTCATTTAATATGAACAACCCACCTAGGTAAGTAGTATTATCTTCACTTTATATATGTGAAAACTGAGGATCAGATTAAGTGACTTGCCAGGTTCAGAGTGGTAAACGTGGCTATGTGTTTTACAAGTCTGACTCCAAAGTTGGTACAAATTCCTCTATACCATATTGTTTTTCCATTCTTCAGAAGCCATAAATGAGCAACTATGGGATTTGAGATAGGATGCCTCTCTTCTAGACAACTTTCTTCTTATGACCCTTTAATATTATTTGCTGATATGTTCCTCTCCCAAAATTCATATATGTAATATTTAACATATTAGACACTTACTCAATGTTTATTTCTTTGAATTCAATGATTACTCAATGGTATCTAGCTTAAATGGCCATGAGAACACCAATATTTTGGTCTAAAAGACTTCATTAGAAAAATAACTTTTTTGAGGACTCTGATAACTTAGTGGGGAAGCATTTATCAAATATGGTGACTGACCTATGAATCTACCCACTGTTACTGCTGATAGTTCTGAGATAACACGTGTTGTGCTTGTTAGGTCTGGGAGCCTGCTCTTTTATTTTCTAGGAGGATAAAATTAGAGGCAAGGGATCTCTAGTAACTAAATATTTTAAAATTTAGTTTTTAAGTTTTGTATATAGGAGGCAATTCTAAAAAGAATGTTATATGTAGTGATACATATTGAAGACTCCAGAAAATAAGACTCTATAAAAATCCCCAGGAATAATCCTATGTAATTTATCCTGCAAAAAATAATAATCTTTGTATTTACCCTTAATATTCAAGATATTGTCTGTTCTAAAGGGTCTATTTTTTTTCTTTTGGGCAGATCTGGAGTTTGAACTCAGGGTTTCATACTTGCTAGGCAGGTGCTTTACTACTTGAGCCACACCCCCATCCCTTTTAAGTCCTACACAGTCTTTGATTGTACAAAATATTTTCTACCAATTCTCCTGAAAAGCTGAAAGATATTTTCTTAATTATATTTCTCTCCAATTTCTCTTTTTCGATGCCAAACAAATTTCGATCTATATACAAATCCTAGATTCAAGATTCTGATGCAGAAAAGATCATCCAGGACCACCCACAACCTGTACATTTATATTTATCCTAGCTCTCAATGATTTCTGTACTAGTGTCTGTAGCAGATGATGAGAAAGAAACAGCTTGGATATCTGACCGTTGCTTTTTGTTCTTTCCAAACTCTATCACCAATATTTTTCCATGCAGTTTATATCCATTTACTTGATGCAATGCTTGCCATGCTATCTCCTTATCTAAAAGAAAAAAGAAAAAAATCATTTTACATAGCGCTTAATCATTCAATTCTATTACAAGTCTAGTTTTGTTGTTCGGGTTGGCATTAAATGCAGACTAGAAGGTAATGCTGTCATTTGATATATAATCTTCAATTTGTAGAACTCAGGAAGATTAAACCAATGGTTAACAGTGATGACAATAAAAATTCAAAATGAATATTTGAGGATGTCTCTTAATTCAAAGATACAGGCAAAGAAACAAGAATATATAGGCAGTATGCTAAAGAAATCTAAGCTATACCTAATTATATCCAAGTCTCTCTTAGAGAACCAGATCTTTTTCAAAATGGTAATACAAAAGAAGTTATCATATGACTGAATACACTTTGCTACTTTTTTCTTTCAGTGAAGAGTGGCTGTGGGTATCTTTATTGGGATAAATAAGTTCAAGAATCCTTGTAGGCACAGAAGCTTTGAATATGAGAATATACAGTGTACAGAAATATTATTCAACTTATGGGTTTTTGGAGCCTGGATATAAGAAATAAGGAAGAGGTGGATTGTGGCTAAGTCTGTGGAATCATTAGGTTGACAATATCATTAGTCTGAGCCCAGTTTTATCTCAGATATACTAAAAATTTTTAAATTATACCATAGCTGCTGTTACGATTAGTAAAACAGTGACACATGTAAATGTACTTAGCTTGTAAAGTTTTTTATTATGTATTTTTCAATTAGTGTTTCAAATTCTGTGAGGGTCCATGAAATATGTATAAATTTGAAAGAGGTCCTTACACTTCAAAAAACTGAAAACCACTGGTACAGAGGATTTATAAATTTTCAGTGAAGTAGGAAAGATGGTACAAGACTATATGAAAACACAATGAAGGGGAGAATAGCAGTACTTGTGTAAAATCACTTGCCTACACATATGTTAGCAGACTATTTGACAGTTTAGAAGACATACTGGATGGTTTTTCATAGAAATCAGATTCACCCATTATTATTATATTTGGATTAAAACACTGAAGTTATGTATTTACATATGTGATATGTAGAAGAACCTACCATTATCTACTAACTATGAATTAGCAATGACTTAGTATATTAGCTTGCAATCAGTTAGTCCTAAAGGAATAGGACATAAGGAAAGTACATGTGTTTTGATCAGAATGCCAATAAATTAATTAATGAATAATCTAATTATAACTTGGACTAGAAATATTAATGTTAGCAAAAGAAAATAAATTTCAGTGGGGTGAGAAGCAAATGCCAAGATTGGGGAAATTGAGAACATTTTGGGTAAGGTGGTCATGCACTGTCAACAGAGGAGAAGATGCACAGTAAGGGGGATAGAGAAACATTGAAAACCCGTTTTCTTTACTTCTCTTCTTTTTATGTGCTATGGAGAAATCAAAGGGCTATATCTAAACTAGAGTTTCTAGTGAATTTATGCTGCAACTGAGTAATTATGTAGATGGAGTTACTCACTGGGAAATGTGATGAAAGCCTGTCCCCTCATTCGTCCAGTCATCATTTGAAATTGAATTGGAGGTCCTTTTTTCTCCTGGAACCGAGCGAATAATGAGACAAGATCTCTTTCAGTCACCCGAGGGCTAAGGTTCTTCAGGTATAATACCTAATGTAAATTGAAGATCAACAGAAATATCACATAAGGAATGTCAGAATTAGTTTCAGATAAACATAGTGGATTGAATACATTCATCTAATTTTACTCTCTCTCCAGAAAACTCTTTAAAATGATAGGGACTTAAAAAACACAAACCAACAATGTCAGGAAGAACAAAGAAGGCAATAGCAACATTTTGGAAGCTGGAAAATAATTGGGTGAGTAGGAACTAACTCAGCATATTCAAGAAAGCTGATTATTAAACCAGTAGTAAGGAAAGTGAAGAACCCACACAATTTCTACCTAAGAATTTTCAAAAGTCAGAGAAAGAGAGAGGGAGAAAGGAAAAAAGGGAAACAGGAAGAGGAGAGGGAGAGGAAGAGGGAGAGAAGGGAGGGAAGAAGGAAAGAAAGCTCAAAGAGTTTGAGAATTCATAGCATCAAATATCTCTGGAAATGGATGTGAAGGGTTGGGGTTAAAATAAGGATGGTAGATGGATGGCTGTTTAAAAACGAATTAGATCTTTCAATACCCTTCTCACTACTGGGCAAGGGCAACTGGCAATAATGGTAGAATACTGGAGGTTCATTGTCAGAAGATGGGGAATGCCACACATACACGAGGTTATGAATACTGTTTCTGAAAGCAAAGAGAATGATTGCATACTAAATGTTGGGTCCACCCAGGCCTTTTTCACCATTTGTCTCCTAGAATGCTTGTATGACCCTCCGAGGAGAGCATTTGGAGCAGTCTCCTCTGGGGAAACTGGTAAGACCCATGTGGAAAAATTATAAAAATGACTTGAGATGGGGAAGTTCTTTAGCAAATGGCCCAGGCAGAGTACTTAGCACATTACCTTAAAGTGAAGTTCAAGGGTCATTCATATTCTGAGAGTTTCCAAACAGCTTTATAGTCCTTACTCATAAATATGAGCATGGATCATCAAGCACCTGAGGAAAGCCTCTAATAAAAGTCTTTATTATGAGACAGAGAACAGAACAAACAGAAAAGAAAGCAAATGGAAGAAAACAGAGACCATGAAGGGTAAAAAATCTTTTAAGAACTACAATACCCTCAGAGAAAATCTACTATTAATTAGAAATGGGATGTTATTAAAAATCTAAGAGAACAAAATGTGATTGAATTTAAGTCATCATCAGTTTAAAACAGAGTGCTCATCTATAGTAACCACAAAGAAAATACATATAAAAGATACTCAGAGGAAAATGAGAAAGGAATCAAAGCATGTCACTACAGAACTAAAACAAAATAAAATGAAAAAACCTAAAATAAACCACAAAGGCAATTGGCTGAGAGGGGGAAAAAAAAGACCAAAAGAGCTACAAGATAAACAAGTTAACAAATATCTACAGTAAGTTAACAAATACCTACAGTAAGTCCTTTCCTATTAATAATTACTTTAAATATAAATTGATTAAATTCACCAAAAGACAGAGTGCTGAATGGATAAAATAAACAATATCCAACTACATGCTGAGTAAAAGAGATTCACTTTAGATTTAAGGACAAACACAAACTGAAAGTGAAAAGATGGAAAGAGACTATCCATGCAATGGTAACAAAAAGAGAGCATGGGCAACTATACTTATATGAGACAAAATAAGTCTTAAGTCAAACACTGTCATTAAGGCAAAAGATACTATATAATGATAAAAGGGTAAATTCACCAGAAAGATATAAAAGTTACCAGAGCACCTAAATCTATGAAGCAAACAATGACCAAACTGAAGGAGGAAATAGTCAGCACCATAATAATACTATAAGATTCCAATACTCCACTTTCAATCATAGATAAACATCTAGACCTAAGATCAATAAAGAAACAGAGGGCTGGGGTGTAGGTCAGTGGTAGAGCACTTGTCTAGTATGTGTGAGGCCCTGGGTTCAATTCCCAGCAATGCAAAAGAAACTAAAACAAGCCAATTAAGAAATAGAGGACTTTAACAACACTATATATCAAGTGGTCCTTATAGGCATATACAGAACATTCCACACAACAGTAACAGAATATACATTCATCTTAAGTGCACATAAAATATTTTCTGGAGCAAGTTACATGTTAGGTCACAAAACAAGTCTTAAAAAAATTTAAAAGACTGAAATAAAACTAAATATGTTTTCTGACCACAAAGGAATGAAACTAGAAATTGAGAGAAGAAAATTGGAAAATTAAAACTATATGGAAATTAACACACTCTTGAACAACCAACAGGTCAATGAAGAAATCAAAAGTGATATTATGATGTATCTTGACATAAATTAAAATGAAAACACAATATACAAAACTTATGGGATGCAACAAAAGCAACACTATGAAAGAAAGAGCTCAAGAAAACAAACCAATTCTATACTTCGAGCAAGTAGAAAAAACAACTAAGACCAAAGTTAGCAGGACAGAAAGAATAAAGACTAGAGCAGAAATAAATGAAATAGAGAGTAGAAAAAGACAACAAAGTTAAGCCTTTTTTCTTTTTGAAAAGACCAATAAATCTGGCAGACCTTTAAGCAGACTAAGAAAAAAAGACAATTCGATAAACAAAATCAGAAATGGAAGGGGAGACATTATAACTAATATCATAGAAATAAAAAAGGTTGTAAGAAACTACTAAGAAGAATTATACAATAACAAACTGGATAATATAGAATGATAAATTCCTGGAAACTTACAACCTACCAACATTGAATCATGAAGAAAGAGAAAAGTGGGATAAACTAGTAATGAGTAAGAAAATGAAATCAGTAATCAATAATGTATACACATGTAAGTAAATGTAAAAACTATAAAAGAAAATTAAAAGAAAAAAGACATTAGCAAACTGCTTCATGATAACAGAGGATCCTAAGTATAATACATTTCAAATACAATACAAAGGTGTTAATAATAAACTTACTAATTCTGCAAAAGCAAAAATAAAAACAAAAAAAATCCCAAAAAACTTCCCAACAAAGAAAAGCCTGGACCAGATGGCTTCACTAGTGAATTTTATGAAATATTTAATGAAAACTAATGCAAATCTTCTCAAACTCTTCCAAAAAATTGAAGAGGAGGGAACACTTCCAACCTTACTCTGTAAGGTGAGGGTTACCCTGATATCATTCTAGAAAACAATAGTATAAATATGGACCAATGTCCTTGATGAACTAGGTGCAAAAATTCTCAAGAAAATACTAGCACAATAAGTTTGACAGTACATTAAAAGCATCATACACTATGACCATGTGGGATATATCCTTGGGATATAAGGATGGCTCAACATGGAAAAATCAATCAATACGATACAACATATTAACAGAACAAAAGAAAAAAAATCACATGATCATCTAAGATGAAGACAAAGTGTTTGACAAACTTCAACACTATTTCATGACAAAACTATTCAACAAACTAGTACAGAAGGAAATTACCTCAACAAATTAAAAGCTACAAATGAAAAGCCCACAGCTAACATCATATTCAGCAGTGAAAAACAGAAAACTTTTCCTCTTCAGATTATGAACAAGGCAAGAATGCGTATTTTTGTCACTTCTATTCAACATAGTATTAGAAATTCTAGCCAGAGCAATTAGGCAAGGCAAAAATAAATAAAATTCATCTAAATCAGAAAATGGAAGTAAAATTATCTGTTTACAGATGAAGTGACCATACACATAGAAAACACTAAAGAATCAACAAAAATTTAGAATAAATTCAGTAAAATTGGAGGACATAAGATTAACATAAAAATCAGTTGTTTTTCTATTAATCAAGGAAAGAAAGACTTGTACAATAAAAACATGTTGTGGAAAGAAGTTAAAGAAGACACAAAGAAATGCAAATAAATAGAAAGATGTCCTGTTTTCATGGACTGGAAGACAATATTGTTAAGATATCCACACAACCCAAAGTGATCTACAGATTCAATGTAATCTCTGTCAAAATCCCAATGGCATTTTAAACAAAAATCATATAGAACCACAAATGATACAAAACATTCTTAAGAAAGAAGAAAGCTAGAAGCTTCACACTTCCTTATTTCAAGACATATTATAAAGCTATAGTACTCAAAACAGTATGGTACTACCATAAACAGATACATACATCAATGGAACAGAGAGCCTAGAAATACATCCATGCATCTATAGTAAAGTGATGTACAAGTACACCAATAACAAAATGTTGAGCAATTTAAACAGTCACATACACAATAATAAAAAGTATATTCTTATCTTATACCATATACAGAAATAAAACCAAAATGGATTAATGACTTAAACTAAACCGTGGCATCTTGATATTGGTCTTGGCAATGATTTTGATACAACACCAAAAGCACACGCAACAAAAGCAACAATAGACACGTAGAACTACATCAAACTAAAAAGTTCTGTACAGCAAAGTAAACAATCAATGGAATGAGAAGGCAATCCATGGAACAGGTAAAATATGTACAAACCATGTATCTAAGAAGGGTTATAACATCTAATATACATAAAGAACTGCTACAATCCAATAGCAAAACAAAAACCAATTAAACTATAGTCAAAAGACCTGAATAGACTTTTCTCCAAAGAACTCATGCAAATGGCCAATGCATATATGAAAAGATGCTCATTATTACTAATCATCAGAGAAATGCAAATCAAAACCACAGTGAGGTATGACCTTATACTTAGTAGGGTGGCAATTATAAAAAAAATAGTAACAAGTGCTGGCAAGGATATGGAGAAACTGGAGCCATTGCACACTGTTGTGGGAATGTAAAATAGTGCACCTACTATGGAGAATAGTATGGAAGTTACTCTAAAAATTAAAAATACAACTACTATACAATCAAACAATCCCACTTCTGGGTATTTATCCAAAAGAGTTGATGAGCATCTTGAACAGGTATATGTACTCCCATGCTCATTTCTACAATACTTACAATAGCCAAGAGATGGGAACAACCCAAATATCTATTAACAAATGGATAAATAGTAAGTGGACTATACATACAATGGAACGTAGA